TACTGCAGAAGGTTACCTTCTACACCTTTCACCTCTCTTGTTTCTCATGCATTTACATGAATTGCAATTTTTTTTTTTATATTGATTGTATAATGGAAGGTAATTCTTTGTCATTCTTTATCTCAGCCCACTTATATTGAATTATTTAGATCGTTGATACAATAATTATAAATTTTATAACACATAACTCATAATTTTTACTACTTTATATGAATAAAATTTTTAATTTTAAAAAATATTAATTAAAAAATAAATTTTTAAATAGAACCTTTATAAAAAATTTGAAAGGACCCCTTGTAAAATAATTTTAAAGAAAAACAATTTAAAACAATGTGATTTTAATAAAATATTATAAAAAAAAGATTAAAATCGTTTTATTTTTACTTGAAAAATATATTATTTTCTCATTTTTCAGTTAACATTTATTAAGATGATGTCATTTTGATATAAATTTCTCTTAATTTTCTATAAATTTCAAAAAATTAATATTTACCTGCCAGACTTATAAAAAATTAAGATAAAAGACACTTTAAAATTAAGTTATTTTAATAAAGTACCACTAATAAAGACCAACATAATATTATTTTTTGCTTTAAAAATATATTATTTTATTATTTCTCAATAGAAATATATTGAAATGATATTGTTTTAATTTTTTTTCTTAATTTTTTTATAAATTTGATGAATAAATCCTTTTTCATGTGTATAAAAGAGTACTCTATTTTATTGTTTAGGCATTAGGATGGTTGAATGGGGAAAGGCTCCCATTATCATAGAACCCAACTTTTATCTAGTGGTTATTATTATATGATTTGATACAATCTAAATTATATAATAAAATTTCATATGTAAAATTAATTTTCTTTCTAATATTTTAAAGGTCTTGCACATTAGTGTAGTGGTACCGAAGGGAGCTTAGCCACTGGACTAGAACCAGGTAGTGGTTTGAGATTTTGTTGTATTTCTGTCAAATTAATTAACAATTAATAATAATTAGTAATTTGTTTGGCGGCCTTCCATAATAGTAATTAACTTCAATTGGTTAAATTGTCAACAGCAGGTTAATTTTTTTTTGAACAATTTTGCAAGGGGCAAATTGAACCGTTGCTAAGGGAGGAGGGATACATTTAAATTTGACTTGATGCCACTAAGTTTGAAAGTGCATCGAGAGAAGGTTAATTATTATAAAAGAAATTAAAATAAATTTCTACTGTACTATGTTTAATTGTAATCTAAGGACTTTTTTTATCAAGACAAATAAATATTTATATCTAAGCATATTTTAT